CCTTATTTTTCCGGCAGAATATCCAAAGTATTTATTTTATAAACCTACGTATACAATACATAAAGTGAGGCTATGTTATTTGGAGGGAACAGTTGGTCGAAAAGCAATTGAACTTCATATTAAGAACTATACAGAGCATAGTTAGACATCAAACATTTAATACACTCATATATAGAATTAACCGTAATTTAAGCTTTAACAGTAATTGGTGTATACCAAGACGATGGTGTTGCAACCTCGTGGAGAATTTGTGAACTATAACAACTAATACAACTCAAAGTAAAACATTTATACAAAATGTTTTAAATACCATTGACACTTAATGATAAATTAATAAACTTGTTTGGTTTGAGGTTATGTTATTTGATGGAAAAACAGAGGTTACATATGCATATACAAAATCACATAATCAGCTAAGTATCGAACCCGTGAACCTCTAAAACTTACCCATTCGGGTTAGAATCGAACCCATGAACCAACCCAATCAGGTTAGAATTGAGCCCATTAACCCCTAAAACCAACCCAATCGGGTTAGGATCGAACCCGTTAACCTCTAAAACTAACCCAATCGGGTTAGAATTGAACCCGTTAACCAACCCAACCGAGTTAAAATCCAACTCGTGAACCTCTAAAACTAACCCAATCAGGTTAGGATCAAACCACTTAACCAACCCAGTCGGAATAGAATTGAACCCGTTAACTAACCCAACCGGGTTCAAATCGAACTCGTGAACCTCTAAAACTAACCCAATCAGGTTAGGATCGAACCCATTAACCAACCCAACCGAGTTAAGATCAAACTCGTGAACCTCTAAAACTAACCCAATCAGGTTAGAATTGAACCCGTGAACCTCTAAAACTAACCCCTCCGGGTTAAATCGAACCCGTTAACTAACCCAACCGGGTTAGAATTGAACCCGTGAACCTACAAGCCCGCAAACCTCTGGGATCACATTCAAACGGTTAATTACTCCCACATACTAAAACTCAGAGTGACAAATGTAAAACCATTAGCGACTGTTGGGATTCGAACCCATAACCTCTTGGTTTCATACTCAGACATTTAACTACAGAACAACAAAATTCTAAAACTGAAAATGTCACTCTAACACAACAGTCGGTAATTGGTAAGGATCGTACCCACAAACCTCTAGGATCAAGAACTCACACCACTCTCACTTCAACACCATACAACAGAAAACATCCAAACCGGAAATGAAACGTTTAGTGATTGGTAAGGAATGAACCCGTTAACCTCTGGGTCATAGGTTCATATACAGACAGTTAACTATAATACAACACCATACCAACAAAAGAAAACACCCTAACCGGAAATGGCACGTTTGGTGATTGGTAAGGATCGAACCTGAGAACCTCTGGGACCATAGGCTCATATACAAACGGTGAACTATGATACAATACCATACTGAAACTCAAAATATCACCCTGACAAGAAATAACACATTTGGTGATTGGTAAGGATCGAACCCGTGAACCTTTGGCTCATACACAGGTTCATACACAACCAACCAATAGAAAAAAACATTTACACACTCCCGTTACTCTGTTAGACGCCCCAAAAATACATAACATCCATAAAATGTAAATTTAACATTCAACATTTGGTGGCCTTTACAAAGGCCGTTTTTTATAGTCGACGGTAAAGTTCCATTTAAGCCCTCTTTCAGCTGTTTTTAACATTAGATACGTGAATTATCATTTGTTTCGCATTTGTTATGGACTACAGCTTATAGATATGTATGAAATAAAATAAAAATATAATGTTTTTTTACACACTCTGTATATATAGGTTAAGAAATCTATTTACCACTATAAACACGGGACCTGTAACTGGTATCGTAGCTAAATGGCTAAGACATAAAATCAACATCTAGGAGGCCGGGGTTCAATACCCGGTCAAGGCATACACTTTTTATCCATAACTAAATAAACAGAAATAGTTTAATAATAAACAAAGGTACCAAATAAGGTTACGTCACATGGTTTTCAACCCTAACTACCTCCCAACAACCTAAGATACTACCCCTAACAGCTGAGAGGACTATATTGTTAGGTTAGGTTAGGTTAGGACCCCCCACTCCAAAATCCCCCCAATCACCGCCACCCCTACTCATGCGCAGATCCTACTTGGTTCGCAAGTACTGCCACCCCTACTCTGGATGACTAGCTTCGGGAACAAAGTCCCATTATCAAATCCTTATTAAAACATCAATTGATTATGGTCAAATATCCGACGTAAGTCTTTCTGTTCTGTTGTGTCCGCCGTGTAACCTGCGTCGGTTTGTCCCGTATTCAATGTGGCCGGCCTATCGTAATTGTTTTTGTAACTTTTATTATGTAAAATGTGTAAATGTTATGTGTCGTCAACCTACATGTATACATTGGTGAAGACTTACGTCGGATATTTGACCATAATCAATTGATGTTTTAATAAGGATTTGATAATGGGACTTTGTTCCCGAAACTAGTCATCCAGCATTGACTAAGTTAAGACTGAAGACGGAATAAGGTACGTAACCTATTATATTATATTAAGTTATTTATGTTATTATATAACCGATCATCTTTTAATCGAATAACTATTCGGTTTTCGTCAATGTCTGAAATATTTGTTATTGTTCAACGAGTGATTCCTCGATTTTATTTATCTAGATCTCTCTGTACATATTTAGCCATTGTTGCTTGCGAATGCATAAAATAAACGAAAAACTTCTCTTAATGAGATTTGTGTACAGAAAACAAGTCTGTTATAGTATATTTTATAACAAGAGTATAAAGTGAGTCATTAAATATTTGAGACCAAGTTTGAAGTGCAAGATTTAACGAGCACATTAAATAAATGGTCGAGAATATATATTTAAAGACCCACTTTCACTCGTGTTTTAAATTTTAAGTCAATATTTACTTTGGTTGTACTTTTTTGGTTGTTAAAAATTGAAACAGTTGACAAAACAATAACAAATCTTTGGTTGTTTACGTCGGTAAAATAAAAATATACATTTATTATAAGTCAATCTGCATCGTTTATTATATTGTGACTCTCTAATTATATAGGATTAATTAAATTGTATAGGGTTTTGTACTCGTATTGAATGTAAATTGCAAATTATTCTACTTACACAAATTCGTAACAGTCATTGTTCAATTTTGCTGATATATCAAACAGAGGTTATTTAAGAGTGCCACAGTCGTTATATTATTTGGGGGAAATTAAATAATATTGAAAGTGGGAGCAGGTAGCTGGTTCGACTAGATGCGGAGGTGTTATTGGAGGTTGTGAGAGTTTGTGAATAGATGAACCGCCAAAGTACCTTCTTAGCCATAAAATAATAAGCAATATTCTAGTACATACTATTACGATTAAACATAACATCGTTTGATCAGTTGGACTAGGAGACTTGATCTTCGTTTTTTAATTCGTTGGCCAACGAACAGGATTTGCTTGGTACTGGTCATCTAAAATATTAAATTAAATATCACTCCTCTGTTGACATGTTCGTGGTCAGTGTGTAACCGCACCGTAACTTCCCTTTTGATAGGTCCATTTGACATCTTGAAATAAAGAGGCTCTAAATTGATTGTAGCACTCTAAGTAATTCAGTGTCGCTTAACCTTGTAAAATCAAAGACAAACACAAGCATTTAATAAGTAATTGTCAAAACCAAATCAAAGTCTATTATTTCTCATGAATACTGTTACTGTGAATACTGTCAATAAATCAAATTGTTACTCACTTTTTAGTTCTCAATAACCTTGGTAATTCGTCATTAGCAATAATAGTTATTCAGTGTAATAATGGTATAATTCAGTAAATCATAGGCCACTACAAAAGATTCACCTTTTAAGTGCAACACTAAATACTAGTGTGGTAGTGAGCAGATTAAATTCAGTGTAGATTAAGATTGTTTATTAAGCTTCATATTGAAGGTATTTCAGTGTGGAAGAACTTCAAACAGTACCAGGGACGTCCCATAAGGACTTCTGGGGATAATTTTATTTAACAGGGCCCGCTCAAATATTTTTTTAACACCAAGCTTCCACTGCCAAAGCTCTGTCTTATATTATTACTTTCCAAGTTCTTCCAACCCAGGGGCAACCAACATTTGTAAAGAATCCACTTTTGAGAGCATTGCAAGGAGTTAAATATATTTAAATATAATATATTTAAATATATAAAGGTAGAAGTCAGAGTCTTTTTTGTATTTTTTCTTTTTTCTTTACAATATCATTGTAACGGTCTATTTGAAGGCACTGAATTCCCTGCAGTGGTCTACAGAGATGTCTGACGCACAACTGCGTCGCTTGGTCTGTGGATATGATGATTGGTGACGTCAATGATAGTTGGAAAAACTGGTCTTTACTTTTCTGCATCACTGTATGTATGTATGCAGTATGTATGCTGCATTATCCTGTGTAGCTTTTATATTTGTTCAGTTATAAGCTGTTCTTCAATAATCTTTTTTTGTTTTACTTACTTTCACCTCAAAACACAAAAAATGAACTGTCGCATATATGCGACGTTTAGTCTATTTCAAGAAAACTATGATAATTTTCACTATTGTCTTCGCTGTAGACCGGGCGTCGCAAATATGCAACATTACAAAAGGTTATAAAAAACACAAAATACCAAGAATAAATTATTTACACACACGATTGTAGCGTATTACAAAGTAAATGATCAATGTTTTACAGGTTTTCGCCCATGTACTGTTATCCAAGTGACAGCCGGTCTATGTGTAAGATTCAAATGTCTACCTCGGTCTGTGGTAATGACCGCGGCGTCGCATGGACGTGTTAAATAAGTGTGATAACTTGCCCAAAAATCTTAGTTTTTTTTTTCAAAAAAATGGGTGTGGAACTAAATCTAATAGGTTCTTAAATACAAATGGTAGTAAAGTTAGGTTGTTCACCCTGTATTAAAGTAATTAAGGTAGTTTTTGACATTATAGTTTTAAAATTATATTTAATGAAACAACAAGTCATGTTATCAAATACAAATTCTTCAAGGATTCAATCAAAGATTTTTCTCTTTCATGTCTCTCTTGTAAGATGACTATTTTTATATTATTTACAGTTTTGTTATTTTGTTTGGTTTCAGTTCTTTTTCCTTTGCTTTTTTGCAAAATTCTTTCTTGAATCACTCGTTTCTCCGTTTTTGGCTGTTTTAACTTGGGCTGTGTTACCTGTTAAAATACAGAGTTTAAGATTAGTTATTTTGATTATTATAGTTGGTTTTTGTACCTATATTGCATTTTTGTAGGTTTATTTAATATACCACTAAATACTAAGAGTAAGTTTAATGTTTCAGGGTTGGTAAATTATCAAAACTTTATTTTCCAATGCTTAAAATGTATGCAGACATTTTTTTCTGTGGTCTTTACAGTATTTAACGTGCACTTATAAAATCTATTTTCTGATTTTATACAAAACCATGCTTACACTTGGGGGAGGAAAACCTGATGAATTTCTATCTGGCATTGAGACATTCATGTTGTTTGATGTTAGCTGAAGAAAACAGTCTTCAAAACTCAATTTTGGTGGGGCCATCGAATTAAACTAAAATAAAAATAACAAATATCATGAGAGATTCGAGTAAAAAATAAATAGGTAAATGAAAAACACATAAAACATGGTTCTGCTTTTCATAAATGAAAAGTCTACCAGAAGGAATGTACTTTTATTTGTATTTTACTTTGAAGTCAAGGTCAATGGTTATACCATAGACGAATAGAATTAAATATACTGTAGACCGACAACAGTGCTGCGGTTAGCATAAGTTCTGGCGTCCACCACTTGGAGTGTCGTGTAGTTAAGTACCGTAGCGTGTGCCGCAACTATGCCAGAACTAATGCTAACCGCAGCACTACTGTTGGTCTATATTTAATTATATTTGTCTATGGTTATACTCATGGATTTAATAAAAGACAGGGTGCATTAAAAAATATAAACTCTATAGTAAAGTGTATTGAAGCTTATGCTAAATTTGCTCTACAAGCGAGTAAGTCAAGACCACCTTTATGAACCATCCTGTGTACTGTACAACCATTGAATATTTTGTATACGGTACTGAAATTTTGATACTACACGTTACAAAGTAGAGAACTTCATCACCTTGACAAGACTTAAGCAGCTAGAATCAGAGAAAACTTTTTGTATATATATTCTTCTTTCCAATTTAAAATTTTCTGTAATTTTTTTACATAGTTTCAGTTTATGTTTAAAAATCAAAATACTGTTTTCTATCATATGTCAACTAATAAAATGTGGTATATACTCACTCCTATTTGTTATGAAGATATAATATTTACTACTTTCAGTTTCTGTATATTCAGTCAATTATTTACAAAACCTTATCACTGTGTTGTCCCAAAAAGAGGATGTTTGATATGCATTAGTTTCATTTTGAATCAATATATAACTAAATGTGCTGGTTTTAGAGTAACTAGAGATATTTTTATTTGCGAAAATAATTTAATACAGTATTTGAAATACCTTATCATATTTACTTTTCTCCTTTTGCCGGTTGATTTTGATTTGATTCATCAATTTTACTCTGTTAGCATACACATCTCTTCTTTCAACCATTTTTTCTGTAATCAATTTAATTTTGATTATACACTTCTATTTTGATTTATAGTATAACCATTGACTATATTGGATACTATTCAAAGGTATCCAGCATATATTTGAACTACTCCATATGAAAATCTCTATCTGACGTCAAATCTTTAACGATAAAACCTGTTATGAGTGTTTAAATTAACTAATAACTATCATAATTTTCAATTTATCTTTTGTTAAATTTACCATTTCTTTGACAAGAAATGCTGTCTTTAACCTCACTTTAAAGTCTTTCGACCTCCATTTTCAGCTCCTCTGACAGTTGTTTTGTTTTATGCTTCTCTAACAATCCAACACTTATTGAGTTCGACTAAGTTTACAGTTCACATATTGCTGTACTCAGGTGTCACAAGTTCTACTGTATCTGTCTTTTACTTGAATTAAAATTATAATACTAAATTATCATTACAATATTGGGATTAGTTCAAGTTTTTCCCACTTAACGCTAGTTTGAGAAGTGATTTGTTACTTTACAAATAAAGTGTTTACTAAATAAGTTATACATATCTCACCTAAAATATGTGCATTGAATTTGGGATCAATTTGGGTATGTAGATGCAATTTGTAACTTCAAAAATACTACTGTATTAAATTTGGTATGTATATAAGACGTTATTCTATTTGATTGTTGTTCTAGGGTCTCGCTAAGTTAAATCTTAGTACCACTGAAAAATCTGTAAATGCTCAAACAATTCAAAATCCCTCATCATACCTTGTCTAGTTCTCGTTTATGTCCGTCTGGCACCACAACTTCAATCCTGGTTAAAACTATTGGTTTTGCCTAGAAATTACAACGAGTGAAGTTAAACAATTAAAGGTACAGCTAAAGAATAAAAGTACAAGTTATCTTATTTCTCTAATTAGGCTCCATATATTAAAGGACTATATTATTTTGATTTCAAGTTTTTTAAGACCACAATTACAGAATATTCACTATGACAATATTGATAAATCGTTATATGGTTAGTACAGTACTGTACTTCTTTATAACACTGAAACATGGAAATTTTAATTTTACCCATCGTCTCCGCTCTCTAATATTATATTATATTGACTTATACAATATAGAAATTATATTATTTGTTGACTTCAATTTAAGTGATTGTTCTGAGTAGGTATTTGGTATATACCTATATTTATAGGTACACAAATTTCACTATAATTGTAGGATATACATCCTATCTCCTATCCATTTCACAGTGTTGGGTCAAAGAGTATTTTGGAGAAACATGGAATTTCAACAGGAAAGGAAAACCAAATTAAATGGTGAACAGGGCCGACTAGAGGGTGGGACAGGGGAAACCAGAGCCCCGGGGCCATATCTGAAGAGCCATATCAAATGTAACATTTTTTCTGTACATTTAATCTGTTAAATTAAAAAAATTAGGATATTTTCCAGTTTAATACGTAATTTTTTACTTGAATTGTGAAATTCAAGTCTTGACTTATTTAATTTTTGACATGAATATAGTTGCAACTGTGAGCACGTGAATTAATCAAATTATCAAGCATATAAGAAATGTGTTGTTATTTTGTGTAACAAATGACTTGGAGGCGGCTGGACTAAATCAGGAAAATAGGGGGCCCGGAATCGCTCAGCCCTGGGGTCCATGACGGCTCTCCCCGGCCCTGATGTTGAATATTTTTTTTTAGATTGCAGCTTCTTGACCTGACATTTGTTATGTTCATTGAAAGATAATTTGCCAACAATTTCTTAACAAGGACATTAAATACTGTTTTATTTGTCTCAAATTAATTACATTTCATACATATGAAAAAATAAAGCATGGACTTAAATTACCGGTAGATAAAATTTAAGACCACTCTTCAAAAGAATAGGGCAGAATTTTCTCTTACCTTAGTGCTTTTTTCTTGGTTTTTATACCCTGCAGATTTCATTGGTTTTTCCATTAATAAAGTGCTCGTCTGTAAAGGTTCCTTACTAAATGTTTGTTGCTCATTTCTAGGACTCGCCATGAGTTTATCGTAAAACTCTAACTCAGATGAACTCATTCTAGTTCTACTACTATCAGACAACCCACATAGAAAATTTATATTGAAAATATATAAAAAAATATATATTTGAAATATAAAGCTATATATTTGCTAATATATTTTGTCAATATATTTTAAATATGCAAATTATGGGACCGAGTAATATATTCAGTTATATTTCATTTGTGGTATTTAAATATAAATTATATATTTCAAATGTGTTTTTATAATATATTTTAAATATGGAAAAGGGCTAGTAGCCTATATTAAAAATATATTTAATATAATGTATTTCAAATATATTAATAATATATAAAGCTTTTTAAACAGTGTTTGTGAGTCGCAAAAGCGACGCATAACACCGCGGTGGTGTGTTATGAGTCGCTTTTACGACGCTTAACATTCGGCGGGTTGAACAAAACCAGGCCTATAATTTAGGACTACTTAGACAGCTCTTTTATGGACAAATGTTATGCTTTTAATTGAGAGAAGCTTTATCCAAATGTATTATCGTAGTATTTTAGGTTTACTAATCACACAGATTTGCTTCATTCGGGATGTAGGCCGGCCTGATATCGTTACTATAGTAGTAAAAATTCAGACTCGCGCACATATTTACAAAATAGGCTAGAATGCTGTTTGTAAAAATATATTGAATAATTATTTTTTATTGGTAAATGTACCGTATATATTCTAAGTTATAAACAGTTGATCCACTTACCGTAAAATCGTGCAACTAGGCCGTATCCAAATTACTAACACTCATGTTTTGAGGTTAGGTCCAAATTAGCACTCATTTTTATTGACTTGCCTAATAATTACACATATCAAACACTAGACAATTTCACTTATACTCTTTCTTGTTTCTTCAGCAAACATTCTACAGATACGCATATTAGGCATATTGCCCAAAGCTAGAATCGTGCAACTAGGCCGTAACCTAAATGACTAACACTCATTTTTTTAGGTTAGGTCCAAATTAGCACTAATTTTTGTTGCCTGGCCTAATAATCACACACACATTTAAACACAAGACACTTTCATGCATACTCTTTCTTATTTCTCCAGCGAAAATCCTATAGATACGCATATATCTGTTAAGTACACAACATATAACCTACGGACGCAGTCCTACACCCACCTATCGCCGGCACAACACTGCTCAACTGAACATAATTAAAACAATATGGCCGCATATATATGTGGAATATATTTATAATATAAATCTATTTTTTATTAGAAATGTAAATGTTAAAATATATTTTTAATATATTGAACAAATACATTTAAAATATAAATATAAAACGTTGAATACTCTTAAACTATATTTAAAATATATTTAAATATTATATGAAATATATTTACAAAGATATATTATAAATATAACATACAATATACACTTTAAAAAATTTATTACTTTGAAAATGTATTATAAGAAATACGATTAATTTATAATAAACTTATATTCGATTTATATTTAAAATACATTATAATATATGTTCTAAAGTATAAAATTTATACATAATGCCAACTATTTTCTTTGTATATTTATACGATATTAGGAATATAGAATGGAATTATATATTTGTACAACTATATATATTAACTATATTTTGAGAAATTTTTATATATTGAAATATATTCTTAATATATTTTCATGAATAATTCTTTTATGTGGGAAAGAGCTAACAAATGACACACTCCTATCTCTAGAAGATTTTGAACCTTCTGTTGAATAACTTGATGAATCCAAACTTTTCTTCTTTCTGAATTGTTCTAAGTATGAAGCGGATCGGTTCCTCTCTCTTATAGAATTCTTGTTTTCAAAAACAAAGTCATTCCTTCTTGAAATTCTGCCTGTACTATTTGATTGCATGGATTTTTGTGGCAAGTTATGACTGTTGCTTGAACTTTCTTGATTGGTAATACTATTTGCATTTTCTAAACTTGATTTAATCCTACGTGATTTATTTTGTGCTCTAATCCTAGAACAATTGGGAGAGGAAGATTTGGTTCTGGATTTGATTTTATCCATGTTTCTTTTTACAGCCTCAATTGAAACCTCTCCTTGATAAAAAGGTATTGTCAAATTTGTTTTTTTTAGATAATTCTTTCGTTTTCTTACACTGTTTTAGGTTTGATTCATGCTTTTCACCTTCAAGCGAGTCAACAGAATACACTGACTCTGAGTCAGAAATCATATTGCTAATAAATATCCAGTATTCACATAACATTTTTAATTTTGATATTGTATCATAAATAATGTAACTCTTCCAACACCCACAATGCTGTTGCAATTACTGTAGTAAAATAAAAGCATTTGTACTGGTCTGTCATAGATTTATAACCTACAATTTTATGTAAATAAATATTTAAAAATAAATAAATAAACATCTGATTGGTGTTGTACAAATTGTATTCAATCTGAAGATTAAAGGGAATAGTAAACAAATGGTGAAATGACAAATTCATCAATCAGTTGAGTATAATTAGTTTAGATAAACTGAGTCAACTGAGCAAAGGAATGTTAAGGTACGTTTACACTGGGATACATGTATGAGAACTTGTGTGAGATACTTGTTTGAGAAACAGGTTTAAAGCATGAGTACACAAATCACTAAACTTGTTGAACCACATTAGTGTATTTACATTTGTAAACATGTTGATTGTTAAAAATTGTTTGTTTTGTTGGAAATACCCTACTGTTGTTTAAACTGTGAATTATGGATACCGGTAGTGACGAAGAGGAGTTTCTATACTTATCCACTTGAACACTGCTGTTAATGCAATAAAAAAAAAAGAAAACGTCGGTGGTGGCAGCGTGAGTTTTTAAAGAAATAAATAATTAAAATACATAATATAATATAATAAATAAATATTAATTATAAATATTATAATTAAATAAATTTTATAATTAAATAAAAATTATAAATAAATAATATAATATAATATAATACGGATATAACACGGTGAAACTGTATAAAACCAAACAGATAACCAAAACCGGATACAACACAGTGAAACTAACTGTTCAAAACTCAGCAGGTCACCTCACACAAGTCAAATGTTGAAACAAAATTTTGTTCACTCAAAATGTATGAGGAAATGTTGAAGCTCATACAAAATGAGTGAGCTTTTGAGTGAGCAAATGTTTCTGGATTTGTTAATTCAACAAGTATCTCACACAAGTTCTCATACATGTATCCCAGTGTAAACGTACCTTAAAGTAGTAAACGTACATTTCAATTTGGTAAACACAATAAACACTTCAGTTTGCGTTTAAATATGTTTATTGAGATTATTTGTAATTTCTAATTGGCAACAATTGTATAAGTAACAATATGTTGTATAAGAGTAAATCACTCTGTCGAAGGATGGTGTTAATCACATAAGCCACGGAAGTCGTCCACAGTACAGAGGTTGACTCTGCCACAGCATTTGCTTGTGAGCTCCCGTGGTGGCGAACTCCTTTGGTTGAACTGTCGCTTGGACGCTCCACAAGCGTTGATCACCATAGAATGGATGAATCGCCTACACGCTGAGGGGTCTCTGTGGGTGATCACAAAGCCATTGTTGGTCTATAACATTTGTTTTGTCTATTATCTATTTGTCTACTGTAGCGTCGTAGATTTAAAAATAAAATACACTTTACGTTATAGTAAAACTCAAGTTAATATTTGGTAAATATAACTGAGAGCCGATTTATTACAAACTAGTAGTCGTCCAGTGGTCGAAAACTCGACGTAAAATATGTACAGGCTTCTCTATTTTCCCCCCACGCTATAAATAAATCATGTGATTGGAATTTCTTCCATTTGTTTTGATTTTATGTTTATATTTCTTTGTTATTTTGTCACTAGCATGGCAACCCATAAGACCCATGTTCATTTTTTAAATTAAAAATTTATTTTTCTGCGTATTTTTCAGCCTATTTTAATTTATTAAGGGATTCTACACATCTACAGGAAAATGTATTTCTAACAGTATGAATAGATTTTCCCTGCGATGCACAGGAGCTGAGAAAAAAAGGTCAAGAAACATGCTTGTCTATTAGGATTTTGATCCAGATAGTCCCTACTAATTGTTTTAAAATATTATGTAGTTTGTAAATCTATTTCTTAGCTCAAGAAGACTCAACTTACAGTTAGTGCATGCATTCTTGAAAACTGAAACACAACTAGACACAACTTGTTATGAACGGAGTCACCATTTCATGCAACATTTATAGAATGACCAGTAAAGATAACCCTAAAGTACACTAGAAACCGGTTCGGAATGTATTGTCCGTGCCTTTAAGCTGAAATTTTCAAAATAAACAAAATACTTCTAGGTATACATTCTATGATTTGGAATTTTTGTTTCTCAAGGATAAAAATGTTGCAACCCTGACGTTGACGGGTCGAATTTCAAGAGAGGCCCAACAGTAGAAAGTTTGTGTTGTTATAGATTAAAGAAAAGGAGAGCCCTATTTATAAAATATTAAAATGTATGGGTTGTAAAACAATATTCCAGACAACCTTTAAGGACTACTGTTTAAAATAATAATACCCCCACCGCAGCAAACCTGCAGACTAAGCGAATTTCCATTTGACTGATTGGATTTACACTGAAATTTCTACTTTAAAATATAACATTTATTCCCGATTTAAATAGAATTAGTTTAACAAGTACTTAGGTTTGCTGCATCAGGGAGGGTAAAACTGTTTTTTTTGGAAACTGTTAATAGTTAGTAAGAAATAAAAACATTTTCCAAATTTAATCAAAATATGTTCATAAACAAGCAAACTACAACAGTTTACTATTCTCCATAAGAATAACATGGGAATTTTAAATTTACAATTTTTTGGAATTTTCTCCGTAGCCATTAGGCGCATAATAACGACTCAATATACTAAATTATTTGTTTTTTTAAGCTCTACAAAATGGTTTGGAAAGAAATTGCTAAATTTTATGTTTTTTGGGTCAAAAATGGGAAAACCCTATTTTTACCCTATAAAACCCCCCGTAAACCCCCATTC